ACCGATCAATATTTCTCTCTCACATCAGTGTTTCACTCTCCCCCCCTCCTCCCTCTCTTACCCTCTCTCTCTCTCTCTCTAATGCTCTTTTTCTCTATGTCTTCCTCTCTCTAAGTATGTCCTCAGGTCAGGGTTTTTAAAAATGGGGATTATCTGGACATAAAAATAATGCAAGTTATAGTATAATAATAACCAACAGTTATTGACATATCCATATATTACCTCATTCCTCACACCAACTTTATGAGCTTGGTGCTTTATCCCATGTATGGATGAGGAAACTGAGTCCCAAGGTCACATCCTTGTAAGAAGCAGAACTGGAATGTGAGCTCAAACTATCCAGCCTGCATTCTTATACACTATCCTAAACTCTGTCTTTAAAAATAAGTAGATATGTAGATAGATAAAACGTTATCAAGCAAAAAGAAAAACCATCCCTATTCCTGTATTCCAGACTAAAGTTTTTTTATTCAATTAACCAAATAACTCAATAACTGAAGATGTTTCTTATTTTCACTTAAAATGTGCTAAGGTTTTGAAAAGAACCATGGATAAGGTCTAGAGATGGAGGAATTACTGAATTACTCAAAACTCACCAGTGTAGGGTGTGTTTTTTGTTTGTTTTTTCTTATTTGTTTTTATATTTTATTGATTTGTTTACAGAGAGGAAGGGAGAGGGATAGAGAGTTAGAAACATCGATGAGAGAGAAACATCGATCAGCTGCCTCCTGCACACCCCCTACTGGGGATGTGCCCATAACCAAGGTACATGCCCTTGACTGGAATCAAACCTGGGACCCTTCAGTCCGCAGGCCGCTGCTCTATCCACTGAGCCAAACCAGTTAGGGCACCAGTGTAGGTTTTTAAGAAATGATCTCCACCTTAATCATACAGAACAGCTAACTGGGCTCAGGGGAGGAAGCAGTGAGTGATGCCTCAAGTCTCCCTTTTCCTGGCTGATCAGATGTAGTCCCTATGTCTCCAAGAATGAGAGGTACCTGGTCCAGGGTACAACGAATGAGACCTGGGAAGAGGCCCACGCCTGAGGTACTGAGTTAATGGGCCAGATCCAGCCTGCAATCATGGGCGACTCAGATACATGTCAGCACCTGCATCCCACAGGACCCTCAGTCCAGCCCAGATCCTTCCTGGATTCCTTCTGACCAGAGAGGATGCCAGTGGGCAGCTCAGCCAACGTGCTGGGGACAGATCTCTTTGCCCAGGCCTGCTGTGTAGTTTGTGAGAGCGAGTCCTGGGCAGCTAGAAGATGAGAGTGACCGCCGTCCCCGCTTTGCTGCTCCCGTCTGACCTCCCTACCCCATGTACAACCCCGGCCACCACCTCTGTCTAACGGGCTACTTCTCACCGGAACCGGAAGCCTGTTCCAAATCCGTCCTTTGCTATGTCTTGCCCAAAAGAGCATCTCGACAATGTTCTACTTCTAACATGAAGATTAGAAATTGCCCTTTTTTGTTGTAAATTTACACCCACTCCATCCCAAGTTATAATGGACGATGATCTTTTACTGATTTCCAATTCAGGATATGACCACTAATTAGCAGGCAGGAAGGGATACTCTGCTTAAAATAGGTGAAATTCCATTTTAAGGGCAAGTTTGGTCTGATCTACGGAAAACAGTGAGCAAGCTGAGACAGACATAAAGTGTCCCCTCTGAGATTAAAGGGAAGAATGAGACAGAGCTGGGCTGCCACGTGGGGAGCACAGGCCTCCAGCTGCTTACTTTCATGTGAGGCACACTTTCTGTGGTGACTATATTGGTTTCAGAAAAAGTGTGTTATGTTAGCAAATGATTTAAAATATATACCTGTGTGTTTAAAGTGGCAGGTTTTTGTAGTGAAAGACACTATTTTAATTGATGGCTGTGTTTCCCTCTGTACCTCACCCTCCCAGCGTCCAACGAGTAAATAAAAATAGAAGTCCTGGGGGCACCACCTAGGACCCAAGGTTGGGGAGTGGCGCAGAGACCTGCCTCAGCCCACTTCTCCCCCAATTCGTCTGTACAACTTTCCCCTTGGACAGACTGTGACAAGTGTTGGGCCCAGTGTTTTATCGCATTTTGGCAGAACCTGAAGTAAATCCCTGTCCTTTTAATCCCTTTACAGACTTGAAAAAAATCTGCAGTCAGAAAGTCAGGCCTCAACTGAGAAAGAGATAAAAATGTGATTAAGATTTGCTACTCTCTCCCCGGTTACAATGGCTGCTGTTCTATGAGAGCTTTCCTTAGAAAAAAGTAGAACTGTCTGGGGCATACCTGGGAGTCTGAGCTTCCGGCAGCAGGCGTTGCAACGATGTTTTGCAATGAAGTTTCTAATTGCATCTTCCCCTAAGTTGGCTGGCCCAAACACCATTCCTCTGGATCTGGAGGAAATAATCAGAATATCAATTAGACCACAGCTAAGAAAAAGGAGCCCCGCTAGGATTCTCGGAGGTACCGAACAGTCTCCCATAGTAACCCAGCAAACTTGAGGGAGCCAACAAAGAACAGCGCACTTTGAGGAAGCAACAATGTTAGGTTTGCAAATTTAAAATTCAAATGGACTTAAATCTGTGTACTCAACTCCAAGACCTACTGTGAAACTCATTTTAGCACGAATCTGATAGAAGAGTGAATTTTCTACACACCACGCTAAACCAAAATACACTGAGACCCCTTTTAATGCGTATGGGGTGATAGAATGACAGTAACTGCCCAATGTTCTTCTAGAATACCGGAAAGGTAAGGTAGAAAGTTAATTTGCTATTGAAACACACCTTTTAAAAGGATTCATATATATTCTTTCAAACCCAAATGCCTTTCTAAATATGACCATGTCCTGGAAAACAAATGCCAGACAAATCCCTACATCAGTGCAACTGGCTCTTTCGGCATCTGCTTTCTACCCTGCAAACCGCTGGGGCTGGGCCCTTTGTGGAAAGACAAGATTGCTGTGGTTTTGTGGAAGCAAACTACATATGCTGCGTGTAGGTGACAAAAGTCACAAACAGAATCAGTGCCTATTTGGCACATGTTGAATCTCTAATTATAACAGATCCTCCACAGGTTCCAGGACCAGCGTTCATCCATTATCAGATCACGCACACCCATCATTCCTCAGGCTGACAGTCGGCACGCCACGGAACACAGCACACAGAAACACTTCCAAAGGAACTTTTCGAAAGCTAATATTTTATTTTAATGACATGCAGAGTGGAAAGGGCACGTGTTAAAATCTGAACTCAATTACCGCTCTTAAATACCACGTCTTAAGAAAAAATAAAAGCAAACTATCACAAAAGGAAACAATAAACTTTGCTTCTAAGGAATGCGGTTTTTCAAAAGGGACGGGGTGTAAAAATGGACTTTTTTTTTCCATCCAAGTATTGAAACATTTATCTCAATTTCCACTTCCTTTTGGCAGAATAACAGTAGCTGCTCTGAAGATGTGCCAAGCTCAGAATGAGGGCTGATGTCAGTTTGATCTCGGATTGCCTCTTTGCTCTGAGGCGAGTGGGTGGAGCAAATCTCTTGGGAAGACAAAGTGAACAGGCACCCAGGATTAATTTTCCTGGTCACTCAATCACCCTTACAAAGGACCGCTCTTGGTGGTATTTGCCCGGCTGCATAAGCTGCCTCTTGTTAACTATTCTTCTTTTTCAGGCCTTTTGGTAAAAAAAATAAATAAATAAAAAATAAACACTTCAAATAAGGTGAAACCAAATGTGGCAACAAAAAGTAGAATCACTGGATATTTAGTGCCAGAACTCTGTGATGCCAATAAAGTGAAAAATGATGGTGGTTTCTTTCAGTCATTAAAATGGAAGAATTCCTTTCATCGTCTCTCCGGCAGGACCCCATTGGGATATTTCACTCTTGCACATTCCATACCAGCTACTGCTTTCCTCCCAGAAAAACAGGAAACCCCCAGCTTAGACATGCAACCCTGATTCTCAGATGAAAACTGTAAGCTAAATCATTTTCCTCTATGAGCTCTGTGAAAGTTAAGGCAAAAGAATCAAAATTACCATAGGAATTGGCTCCCTGTGCGGGGTGGGGGTCCTGAAGGAGGGTTGTAAGGACATTCATTTTGTCTACTGCCTAAAGCATATTTATAACCTTGCAATTTCAGATAGTGGAGTTTTTTAAAATATATTTTTATTGATTTCAGGGAGGAAGGGGGAGAGAGAGAAAGAGAGATAGAAGCATCAATGATGAGAGAGAATCATTGATCGGCTGCACCGAGCCCACAACCCGGGCATGTGCCCTTGACCGGAATCGAACCTGGGACTCTTCGTCCCCAGGCCAACATTCTATCCATTGAGCCAAACCAGCTAGGGCTCAGATATCAGAGTTTTAAAAATAAAAATAAATAAATACAGTTGCTTCCCAGGTTTTTCACAGCACAAAACAAGCAGGTGGTGGCTTGATTTCACGTGTAAGGAAACACTAATTAGTGCCACACACACATGGATTTACTGAAGAATATCTCATCACCATTTCAGACTTGTCAAATGCCCAAACACATCAAGGCAGTAAGTGAAAAGACGCAATCCCAAACTACCAACACCTGAGGCAGCCTTCACCAAGGCTCGTGACCTGAGAAACCAAGAGAGGTAGCCAGAAAGGATTGGGGGGTGGGGGTAGCGGGGTGAGGGAGGCCTGATGACTTTGTCTTCACGTGCAAAAGGTTGGGGACAGTTAAGAGGCAGCAAAGACAATATCAGAATCTGCACCACAAAAACATCTTCTCTTTCATGGACCCCCCTCCTGGTGGGCAAGGTACCATCTTCCCTGAGCTGCAGTGAACTGGGATTGAAGCTGCTTACCCCCGACCATGTTAAGGGCAAAATAAACAACATGTGAAAGCACGTGCTTAAACTGGTGCTGCCCAAACTCTAATGACAGTAAATCAGAGCAGCTCCCTATTGCTGGAGAAGAAAAGTGCCCCAGATCCTTTCAGGATTAATCTATTCAAAAAGGAAATAATAGAAAAATACTCAACATGCAAAAGTCTTGTGAAGAAAACAAAGGAAAAGTACAAAACATGCCAAAGGCCGAGGAAGACCACCGTTCAGAAGATATACCACAGGGGGCAGAAGGCAATCTTCCGCCTTCCGAAGAAGGTGTCAGCCAGGAAGCGGAAGGAAACCTTAGAAGCGGGCTGGCTCAACCTGTGCAGGCATTCAAAGAGGACACTCCCATTAGGCATTTGGACCCTGAAGAAATGCTAAGAGGAGTAGATGAGATGGAAAGGCATCCGGAAGACATAAGAAGAGTAAGAAACAAGTTTGTGATGATGCATTGGAAGCAAAGACATTCACGCAGACGACCTTATCCTGTGTGCTTTAGGCCTTGAATTCTTTTTTTTTTTTTTAATCTGATAGTAAAACCTGGCCCCTGCTTTCTGTTAGCATATTCTGATGTATCTTTTACCTTCCTTTTACTTTTTAATTTTTTTTTATTGATTTCAGAGAGGAAGGGAGAGGTAGAGAGAGATAGAAACATCAGTGATGATAGAGAATCATTGATGGGCTGCCTCCTGCATGCCCCACACTGGGGATCAAGCCCACAACCCGGGCATGTGCCCTTGACCAGAACCAAACCCAGCACCCCTCAGTCCACAGGCCAACACCCTATCCATTGAGCCAAACCAGCTAGGAGACCTTTGTTTTACTTTTAATCATCTGATAGAATTTTGTTTTAGATAGTTTCCTTGTTAGCCAGCATCTTACTGGATTTTGTAATTTGACCTATTCTCCAGGTCTATTTTTCAATGGGGAAGTTTCATACAAATGCATGAAAATATGTTCATTCCATGTTGTAAAATAACGTAAGTTGCAAAGCATATTTAGTATCAGCTCACATATGTACAATAAAAATCCCAAATTTTGTGTGTGCGTGCCTGTGTGTATACATACATACATACATACATCAAAAAATTAACTGTGCTTATTTCTGTGGGGTGTGAGTTTTCTTTTTGCTTATTTGTATTTTTTAATGAACTTGTGTCACAGACAATTAAACTTTTTTAATAAGTAAGAATGAAATAATTTGCAATCAGCTTATAAGGGCAATGGGGGCACCCAAACTCTTGATGAAATAACTATTAAAATGTAAACCTCAAATCACCTCTGGATCTCATAGCCAGAGGAATAAAGCTGGCAATTATTACAGGAAAATAAATAAATAAATAAATAAATAAATAAATAAATAAATAAATAACAGCAAATCAGCTTAGGATCTTGTGAAAACTCAGATTCAGATTCAGGAGCTCTAGGGAGGGCCTTGAGATTCTGCATTTCTCACAGTGTCCCAGGTGATGCAAACATGATTGGTCCGTGGCCCCTGCTCGTGCAGCCAAGGTTTATTAACACACCGAAGGCATCCGAAATGTGAGCCTCACTGAACTAGTTCAGTGCAATCTGCCACCGTGGCAAAAAAATAGCACTTCTAGTTATCTTCGCCATGAGGACCAACTGCACCCAAAGTTAGGTGACCCCACAAAACCAGGCATGCTACCAGGATGCTGTCCTATTAGGTTCCAGAGTTTTCTATCCTCAAGTCATAAAAAATAAAGTCTGCCATAGACAGAGGTTCCCAACCCTGATTGTCCATTAGAATCACTTGAGGAACTTTTAAAAGAATACAGACATCCGGGCCCTCTCCTCAGAGATTCTGATTTGATGCCAATGCTGAGCAGCTTATTTTTTAAATTTTCCCAGGTGACCTTAATAGAAATTGAGGCCCACTGGCCTATAGAATGCAATTAAGTACTCGACTGTCAAGTGGGATAATATAATCTTAGAATTCTAAAAGATAGCACTATTCAGGTCATATTAAATGACATATCCAAAGGTCAAAATTTAATAAATGACAGAGTATACAAAAACTTGGTTCGTTATATGCGCAACTTTTTTTTCACTGCAAAATTATAAAGTACTTATGGTACCAGGTTCCTACTACATACCCTTGAGCACACAGGGCTGCTGAAGAAATAATATTCTTCACTAAAAACACTTTCACTCTGCTAAAGTGAAAAATAACAAAGCCTTTACCTGTACCCTGAAAGTCACAACATGAACGGCATGGTCAGATAGCACAGGAATTGGATGCAGAGGAGCAGCAGGTTCACCTTTATTGTCTCCAGCTCCCACCTCATACACAAAAATAGCTAATACTTTTAGATAGGCCTCTGCATAGAAGCTTACAGATCAGACCATAATTAAATATACTTTTTTACTGACTTTAGAGAGGAAGGGAGAGAGAGAGAGAAAGAAACATCAATGATGAAAGAGAATCAATCACTGACGCCCCCTACTGGGGATCAAGCCCAAAATCCAGGCATGTGCCCAGATGGGAATCAAACTGTGACCTGGTTCATCGGTCGATGCTCAACCACTGAGCCACGCTAGCTAGGTGAGACCATATTTAGATTAGATTACTCCATAAAGCAGTAAATATTCACAGTATGAGACCTATGGGAGGGAAGTAAAATGTTCAAATTTTATTTTACAAGATTTACCACTTATGCAATTATATATATATATATATATATATATATATATATATATATATATATGTATATATATATTTAATTTAATTTATTTTGTTTTTTACAACCCAGAGCCAAGTATAGACCCTTAGGACAACTAAGAAATAACAATGTTGTACGTTAGCAGTTCTCCAGTGTGGTCTCGGGTCAGCAGCACCATCAGAATCATCTGGGAATTTGTTAAATTTTTTGGCCCCACCACAAACCCACTGAATCAGAAAATGGGCTGGGGAGGCTGGAGGCTGCAATCTGTGTTTTAACAAGTTCTCCTGGTGATTATGATGCAAGCTCATGTTTGAAAACCACTGGCGCCTGCCATATTGACCAGTCCTTAACACCATCACTTCTTTCCTTCTCCTCCACCTTCAGTAGAACAACAAAGCCTCTGATCTTCTACTGCTAAGTCTTCCCAAAAGTCTGGTTAGGGGGTAAAATACCACGGAAATCCAAAGGACAGGCAGATGACTCATCCCTCCATATAATTTAAACTTAGCCTTTAATTAACAGACAGTCTGAGGCTCCATATTGAAGCCCTAGTGTTCTGACCCCTCACAGACTTGCCGGTACTGAGTAGCGTACTTTCTGCCCCAACCTTCATTTTACAGGCATGTGATGGAAGACGCTGCCCATGAGAAGATGCAATGGCTCTATTGTGCGGACAACAAAGGAAACTGTGCTTCTCCTATGACATTAATTGTTTTTATGTCAAAGCCTAGAAAGGCTGCACTAACCTGTATTTCTCTTTTGTCTGGGTCACTAGAAAACTCAGAGTCAAGTCTGCAACAAAGTTCTAGCTACTGCATTGGCCTTTGTAATTTCCATTTATGTGTACTAACTTAACTCCAGATTTAATCTTATGTTATTTCCATATTGTCTTTTCACCCCCATTTCCTAATCTATGCTTTCTTTAAAATCTTATTGTATTTTGAATCTTATTGCATTTTATTGTAGATAGATAGATATATACAAATATATACATACACATATATAACACAGAGAATAAAGAGATGGATATGGATAAAGATATATAGATAAAAGCAGCCTCAAAGTCTTCCTAGGATCTAGGCAAGAAATATAAATGTTTAAAAATTATTTTTAAAAACCATGCACATTGGTAAAGGCAATTTTCTAAAAGATAACATAATAAGTTAACTTACTGTTTGTCTTCAGGTTTTATAACAGATGGATCTGTCAGATTTTCTCCAACACCTCCAAGGAAGAAAGAAAATTCACTTAGCAAATGGGAATTTCATTTTCTCAGATTTCCAGACAATAATAATAATCAAATTTTAATACTTTCTTTAAACCTCTATCTATCCTGTAATCAATCAAACAACATGTGAATTAACTGTACTATAAAAATTGTCCAGGTATGTGGGAAAATTTTAGTGAATGCTGTCTCCCCCAACCTCCTCTTAGGCTATTGTAAACTTTCAGGCCCCAAGTGAATGTTTTAGGGGTGTGTTCACAGTTATTGATAGTAACGCCCATCATTCATTTACTACTTATATGTACCAGACATTCTAATTTTATTTTCTCTAATTCTTAGCAATCATGAAAGAAAAGTATTAGCATCCTCATACCCTCATTGTACCAATGAGTATGTTGATGTTCAAAGAGAATAAGCAATGTGACCGAGGTTACACTGTCCACTTGTGGTGCCAACAGGACTGAAGCTGAGCCAGAGCGTGTGCCTGGTCTCCTGAAGGAGTCCATCGGTGCTCGGCAAGGTGCAGGGCGCTGTGGGGCTCTGCAGGTACAACCTGCACTGCATCGGAGATACCCATCAAATGCTACATAGAACATTTAAAAACAGTAGGATCCAAATGCCCCCAGATGCTTGATTTGGGCTGCTGATTACACCAGTGTTAGGTTGTTAAAATTCTTTGGGATATATGATTAATACTGTGTGCATGTTCCTGAATATAGTTTGTTATTCTTTTTTTTTTTTTAATCCTCACCAGAGGATATTTTTCCATTGATTTTTAGAGGGAGTGGAAGAGAGAGGGAAAGACAGAGAAATATCAAAGTGAGAGAAACACACTGACTGGTTGCCTCCTGCACACACCCCAACCAGGGCCCGGGCTGGGGAAGAGCCTGCAACAGAGGTACATGCCCTTGAATGGAATCGAACCTGGGACCCTTCAGTCCACAGGCCGCGACGCTCTTATCCACTAAGCCAAACCGGCTCAGGCGGTATGTTATTCTTCAATAAAATTTACCTTTTAAAAAAATGACACCAATGCATAAAAGGATAATGTAAGTAACTTAAAGCTAATATTCATCAAAACAGAGATGGATCAACACCCAAAGCGAATCTCTGTTATAAAAAGGGAGTGGTGAGGAAACTGACTTCCAACACAATGATGTTTCCCAGGCAAGCTGATCAGACAGGTGAATGCACAACTCAGAGATTTCTGAGATCCTCCTCCAATCAGCACTTTGCTTGGAAAAAACCAACTTTGTGGGAAAACTATTTTTAAAATATTATAAAATTTATAACTATTTTTAAAAAGAGTTTTGCTATATTCTGTATGTTTTAGCCTATTCTAAAGCCTTCACAAGAGAACATAATCCTTCCAGTTTAGTGACCTTTCCCTAACACACTGATTTCCTTAGGAAAATCACTTATGTAAGTATGGGTTTTTAAGCCTTTTTTCATCATAACCCCCTTTTTGTTAGTCTGATGAAGCTAAGGGACCCTTTTCTCCGTATAATGTTTTAAAATGCATAATTTAAATCTATAAAATTACAAAAGAAACCAATGATACTGAAATAAAGTTACCAAAATATTTTTAAATTATTGTATTGCATAAATGTGCTTCTTTATATGTTAATTAACAGAATCTAGCACAAGTCTAATAACTGTTACACCATCCAACA